TGTCACCTGTGGTTCCTGTTATGAAAGCTCCCATGCCATTTTTATTCATTGCATATTTTCTCACACTAGCTATTAGAATATTCTAAATTTATGGGTTTTGGTCTCTCAAAAACCCAATTCTGTACTTAGATTATCCTATATATACTGGTAGTTCTGGAGAAATACATTTTCCCCTTGGGCAAGCTTCCTATCACTACTTCAGTTCCAAAGGCATACCACACTAAGGCTGTGTATGTCAACTGTCACAATACAGTCGACTCCCTATTAAGCCATACCCCTTGGTGGACATGTTTTTCTATGGGTTAAGGGAGAGTATGGGTTAATAAGTCAAGTTTCTAGGCATTTTGCTCACTTTGGTGGACCAATTTCCTAGAAAAATGTATGGCTTAAAAGGGGTTATGGGTTAATAGACCATGGTTTAAGAGGGAGTCGACTGTATTATGATGATATGTGTATACCTGTGTCCTGTAGTTGATTGATTGTAATTAAGTGTTGTACATGTCCGGAGGTGGGGAACACCAAGCCAGTAGAGTTACAGAGATGCCTTCAGTGATGACCAAGGGTGAAATAGGCCCTAGAATCCATTTCTTAGGTCCAAATGAATGTTAGTTAAGAATAAATATAAGAAAAATGATGAAAAGAAAAGAATGATGAAGGGTAATAAAAAACTTTGAGGCCCCGTTTGGCAACGCTGGGCCAGCTACGCTAACGGTAGTGTTAGCCTAGCGTAGTGTAGCGCAAATACGCTACATTGTAGCGTAGTGTTAGCGCAGATTTCTGTATCTGCACTAACGCTACGCGTGTGGGCCGCAAAAAAGGGCCCACTACGCTGCGCTACAGCACATTTTAGCGATTTTTTGGCCGTTTTTGCCGCTAAAAGCGCTGTAGCGCAGCGTAGCGTAGCGTAGTGGCACTAACAGCGCGCTAACACTACAGGTTTGGCGCGCTGTTCTGAGGGCCGCTACGCTAACGTTAGTGGGCCATTTAGCGTAGTGTAGCGTAGCGGCCCACCGTTGCGTTTGGAAGCGTCATAAATTTAGGTGTGATATTGCCTGATTAATTCAATCAAAAATAAACCAATGCAAAATATGTTTCAAAATTGCTACTCAGGCAATTTCAATTACTGGTTTCATCAATGCTGAGAGCAAACTTGATATCTTAGGCCATCTTGAGCCCCATAATATTGATATTACCCTTTATATGGGTAAAAAGTGTAATATTGGTATTATGGTGCTGAAGATAGCCTATTATCTCAACTTTGCCTGTACTCAAATTGAAATCAGAAGTTGACCTTTCATTACATATTTCTGAGTGTTTTATTTTATATTGAATTTATAAGGCAATATTACACCTGAATTTATGACACTGCCAAATGGGGCCTGAATTTTTACACATTCACCTACCAAACTGGTTGGGTTTGAAAAAGGCATATTGGAGGGCAGGTAAGAGGAGGGGGCGGAATGTGTACATATTTCTTTATTAGTCAGAGAATAAGACTTAGGATACTTCATATAGGATATTTGTAGCCAGGGGAATAATTTTGAGACAAGCAGGATGGAGTCAATAAGGAAAATAGAAAGACAGAGAAATAGATTTTAGTGAAAGTGCAGAGGAGACATAGGTTGAGATGATATGCTTTTTGCACTATTACTATTAGTGAGAGGATAATGATTAGTCTGCCTAATATAGAACTCAAGACAGTGAAAAAATATTGGTGGGATGGGCTGAGTGAATTTGAATAGATAGAATGGTGAGAAAAAAATTCAAAAAGGAAGAAGGAAATAGTAGAGAGGAAGAGAGAAAAAAGAAGAAAGGAATGAAGGTGGGGAGGCAAGGAATATAAAAAGAACATGTGTTCTTGGAGGTGGAGAGCTGAGGTTCCTAGACTTAAGGTCCAAATGGGTGCCTCAGGCAAAAGAGGGAAAGCAAGCAAAAATTTTGTAAAATTTGGTTCTTTAGGTGGTTTGGATATTTTTTAGATATGCCAAGGAAAACCAGTCTGGTGGGATCTCCTTCCAAGGATATTTTCTTGAAGCTGGATAATGACCTGAATCAGAATATTGTATTCTCTTCCTGGTACCAACCCTCCATTCAATGATTCTGGAATATTGTCTGAGACATTCAATATATTGTTGTTTGGAATAAATTCAAGTGATTGGTTCTGGACCAGATTTCTAGATATCTGGCTGCTTTTTTAAAACAGTTTGATAGTTTGAATATATCATCTTTGAATTTTGTTTATCAGTGAGTGATCATTGAATATGAAACATTAGATGATTCAGCAAGTGCTAACATATAGGATAATTTCTTTTTCAAGGATTCTGGCATACTTTGGTTGGTGGATTTGTGATCTATCTGATTGGATCGGTGAGCCTCCCTCAAGTGGAATGAAATAAAATTGAAAACAAATTAAAGATTCCTGGACCCAATATATATAATTTGAATGTGATTCTCAAACAGTAGGCTGGCTACCTTGTCAATAAGCTAGGGTGTAGGTTTGAAACATAGCTGTGTAGTTAACCTCATCCTTTATTCATCTCTACATTGGCTGAACCCATTGATAAAAAGCTTCAGTATGAATATTGTTTCCCCAAACAACTATTTATCTAGGTAACATCAGGGATACCTTTTTTGCTGAATTTCAAAGAAAGACATATTAGGGTGGTGACCTTGTTAGCTCCTCACAAAAATTGGGTAACAGGTCACATACACTGAGCCCTGGGGGCCCTATGCATAGAATTAGGGCCACCAGTCATTTTCTAGCCAACCCCAACAAAAGTCCATCCCCCAAAGTTAAATCAATGTCAAAGCAGCCAGCTCAAGATAGCAGCAACTTTCCTGAGCTTTTCCTGTGTAGGGCCACCAATCATTTTCCAGCCAACCCTGAGGACACACCTTCCCCCAAAGCTTTGGCTCCATCATCTGTTTATTTTGATCCTCCTGGTGAGAACAAGCTCAACTTGGCCATCATCCTCTCACCCTTAACAAATCCACAGCCTAACCTTGACTCACAGCAGTTGAAATTTTCTAAAATATATGCCAAAGGAATCCATCTTTGCCATACATCTGGTAGATCATATAGTATGTCCTATTTCAAAATTGTAATCATTTTCCTCTCTGGCTATATATTCCATTCCTGACACTGACAATGTGCTTTGGTTAGGTAATAAAAAGACAGGAGAATTATTGATTTTTTTTTGTTGGATCTTTTGTGTACAAGAGCTGAAATTCATGGACTAGGCTTTGTGGTGGATCCAACCCTCATAGGTCCCCATATTCTACTCTTTCTACCCAATGAGATGGCTCATAGTTTGGATAATTACATCATTGCCTTCTTGAATTGTCATGGAATATATTTTGGATAGCATTGTAACATGGAATTCATTGATCATATTGTGTGCCTGTTCTATGTAGAGGCCAACACCAGGGGATTGATCCACCTTCAACTGGAAGAAGAAATTCCTCCAGCAGATTCCCAAAAGAAATTAGTGATTTTCCAACTTTACTTCTTCATCCTTGCTTTGTAGTACCAGTTTTCAATCTTTCATGCATGAATATCAAACACTGAAAAATTGTCGTGCAACTGGTTGCAGTTGGAATGCAGGATACATCCACCATAACTTGGTTATTAGAGAGGATTATTTCTTTGCATAAAGGTTTGAGTCAAGTAACTCTTGAGTAACACTTGAGTTACAGAACAAGTTTCAATTGAATTCATATTATGTTTAATATATTAGATTCATATTATGTTTAATATATCAGAGAACTTGGTGTCTTGGAAAAGATGTTTATTCCAATATGAATCTGAAAAGAAAAGAAAAGAAAAGAAAAGAAAAGAAAAGAAAAGAAAAGAAAGTGACAGTGACTGAACAAGAATATAAAATGTGGTTTAGATTCAATAAGGAGAGAGTTTTGTATCAGGGCCAGCATAGACTATATACAACATGAGATTTTATAGAAGCATACTAGCCTATAAGCATTCCAACAAAAGAAAAAGCCAAGTTTTCTTCTTCCATAGCAGAGTCAGAGTATCCAGCCAGGTTGTCTTCTTCTTTGTCCATAGTGGAATCTCCAGATGACTTGGTAGCAAATCCAGATGCCTGCAACAAAGTTTGAGGCCATGTTGAATATATGGATAAAGTGCTTGCCATCTTGGGTGAATTGTGTGTTCAAACAATCCAAGGCAGAGGTTTGTGAGAAGAAGGTTTGTGTATTATTTTAGAACCCTGAATTCAAAATTTCACTCACTGTTGGGTTAGGGTTCTGTTCTCTGAGCATGGGAGTTGTGCACACAGCCTCCACACAAGGAAACAACAAGAGGCAAGCTTTGACTGTCAGACACATAATTTGCTGAGTTGAGGGTATCCCAGTCTAACTCGGATGCACACAGCCAATGCTTCTCAACCAAGTTTAATTTGACTTGATTCACTGCATCCGAGTTTAACTAGGTTGCCCTCAACCTAGCCAATTATGCTGGCAGTGGGATTTACTACATAAACCAGATTTATGTCTTGAGAAGAATGGGCATTTTGGCTGGAACAAACAAACAAATGCCAATAATTCTGCATTCAGGTATAAAGAGATGAACATCTTGTTTTCACCAATGTTTATTCCTTTTTCTTTCCTAAAATTGTATTGAAGAACATATGTTCAACCCCTTCCCCAACAAGTTGAGTATTATAAGGGGGAAAGAAGAACCCTTCCTACTGGTGCAGCCAGTCTCCAACCTGATCTGAATCTTAACAGAAAAATCAGCTTGCCCTGATCTTTTACCTATGTTTTGACCAGGATGAGAGTGTAGAGTGTGTGCAATGTCGCTATGTGGTTTCAAATTTCATTTTGGGTGAGTGGTTCAGTAAGGTGTGGCCTGTTGACTGAACAGTCCAGGAGTGGATGTCACAGACTACCAGGAGTGGATGTCACGGACTAGACTAAAACCCAGGGAAATTCGAAAAACCGAAGAAAACAGCAACAGACCACCAACACTCAACACTAGGAATATGACTGAACAACAACAACAACAGAGTAGCAGTACAACTAGCACTAATTATAGGAATCAAGACGAACAAGAACAAGAACAAGAACAAGAACAAGAACAAGAAAAGAATCAGGAAGAAGAACAAGAAAAGAATCAGGAAGAAGAACGATCAAAAGAAGAACGAGAAGAAGAACATGGACAGGAAATCCAAGCTCAACCATCAAACATCATCGAGAACCCTATCAATAACCACTGTACTACAGACCAGCAGCAGCAGCAGCAGGATATCAGAAACAACTCAGAACAGACTCATGACCAAAGATGGTGGATCAAACAGGTACTATGGCCACCCTTCCCAACCCAGAATAACTCAAGACCACGCTCAGTCTCAATCGTAAGCAAACAAACATTAAACACTAATTAACTCCATCGTCATCCATCACTAATCGAATCTCTTGTTGCATCATTTCAGCTTATGCAAAACCACAACGGTCCCTGTTCCTTGCTAGCAATCTGTAACGTACTCCTACTACGCGGCGCGATCACCCTCCCAGGCCCATCCAATCGAACCTCGATCTCATTCAGCAGCTTACTAACTCTCCTCGCAGACTATCTAGTCCATCAACAACTTCAACCTCACCAACTACACTCAGCACTCTCCACCATCCCAATCACTCAGACAGGCCTTGACCTCAATCCAAGCTTCGCTTCTATCGATGGCTTCAGACCTACCTCTCACTCCGCCTCCTCTTCATCCTCCTCCTCCTCCTCATCCACTGTCCATGGCCTCGATCTCTTCACAGCCGTCGGAATCCCACTCGTTCATGGCTGGATTGCCGACTCTCAAGACTCGGATACCTGGGACGTGATCGTTGGAAAGTGTGGTGATTATGATAAGGCGGTCGAATTGGTCGTGACTGGCGAAGAACTATTAACAAAACAACTCGAGAACCCTCATCTGGAACTCAACCAGGAAGAACAAGATCTGCTGAGAGAGGGTGAGTTTGTATATCCAGATCAAGACTCACAAGATCATCTCATTAATCACACAAAAAAAAAAATCATATCACACAGCTCTACTCGTCCGAAAGTTTCTTGATTCCACCTCGACCCAACTAAGTTACCCGGGCCTATTTCAGCTTGCGACTGGATTGACCACCGACTCCCTTGTAGCCCTACTCCGCAACTCCCATCTCTCAGTCCTCTACCGACGCCCACTTCTACCTGTCAATCTACCCACACCGGCCCCTCCCCCACTACCTCCACCACCAGACCAGACAGATCCGGACTACGACCACGCGACGGCCTTGGAGGTTCATGCGGTCAGCCAGCAACTGATGGCTGCCGAACATGCCTGTACGGATCCAGAAGAGCTGCTAGATGACCCCCGCTTGCCCAAGCTCTTCACCCTCGTCACCGATCTGGCCTTCCTCAACGAACCACAGATCGTCTGGGAATCCCTCGAGGACGTCGAAGGCGGTCTGAGCGAATTCTACGACTGGAAACTCACTCCAAGTCGGCTCAAAAACTCGGCACCTAATCAGACATCTCATCCGAATCCGACACCCAACCAGCTCAATCAATCGACACATTCCACCGGCCCACCACGCTCTAACACAGATACCGAGTGAGTGCTTTTATCTCTACATCACTCGTCTTATGAAGTAAATATTCTAACAGAACCTCTTTTTTACACTCTCCTTCTTCTAGTTTAAATCTAGCTCACCAATTACAAGAAGAGGAATACGAGCGTGTCCGTCGATCCGAACAGCCGCCCGTCCATCAACCCAACATCCCATTGGGAGGCGGCATACCTGCACCTCCTCCGCCCCGACCTGCACAGACCCAGCTCAATACAACCACCGCTACCGCTTCAGCTCCAATCAAGAAGAAGAAGAAGGGCTGCGTGATCGTATAGTCTCGTCTCAGCCACAACGAGTGTTCTGGGCGCGAAGGATGTAACTTGGTCTTGCTTTCCTCGAAACACAGGGAGGATGTCATTCAACGGAAACATCGTCATCATCGCTTACCGTTATCTTAATCTCTTGGCTGTATCTATTCATAAGCTTAATATCCGTACCTCTTCTCGCTTTTGTGGACCTGAACAATCAAGTTGTCTCCACCGCGAGGCTTCTGTTGTTGTCCTTCTTCTCACGCTTCTAATTGATCTCTTCTCTCATCAATTCATTTCGGTAGCAAAGGAAGCAGTGACACATATTGGTCATAATCGTTGAGTAGGTAATCTTCATCTTGCTAACAACCCTTGGTACTTCCATTATCATTATCATCATCATCATCCATTTGTTGTTATTCCCTTGTACTATAGATCATATTATGATTCCACCATACATGCCACATTATATCTTGTTTTCTACATATCTTTATCAAATAAGCATTTCAAAGAAAAGAATGTCGGACTCTCTGATTCTTCTTCTCGACTCCCATGTTCTGAAAGCACGCGATTAACAGTCCAGATTCCCATTCTAAGGGATAGGCATAGTGTACGCCAAGAAAAGATTGGCACAGAAAGCGATCTCTATTCTAAGTGGGCTAATCCAGTAAATTTGGTAAAGGGGCATCAGACGGAAATGTGTCTGTCTACATCATCCCCGTTGAATGTTTCCTAGCGAGCGTCTTTCATTCATTCATGTATTTCTCGGCAAACATTCTCCGTATTGGGTCAACAAAAGCCAACCTGACCCACTACAAAGGACAGTCGATGGTAAGGATTAGACCTCGACCGGATCGACAATGGTTTCAAAGGTTGTTTTCCGAGGATATAAGGGTGTTTGTGAAGTACATACATGCAGGACGTGTGTACAAGTTCTAGGAATGGTGTCAATGTTTATTACGGTTTTTTTTTTTTAAATTCGACAATCGGACCGCTTAGGGACTGGTGATAATAACAATAACAAAGTTGAAATGTGTTGATGGGGGTTTTGATCCTAAGGAGAAGATCGACTCTATGGAGGATGGCGGGATTTGGAGAGACCGACTTGAGTGGCCACGGAGCGCTGTTCGTTGACGATACGTTTATTGAAATGTTCGACCTAATTTGATAAACGCCGTCCAAAGAAAAACGCAAAAAAATGAACGTTCAGTTAGAATTGGAAAGATTCAGAAAGAAGCAAATGAGGAGAGCAGGAGAGAGACAAACCCAGCTCTTCATACAGAGAGAATGATAGGCCTCGCGCTCAGTCGAGCAGACCTGTTTGGGCTCCTCTCCGGGCACGAAGTAGTACTTATTCCCCGATGTCTGTTGTTCACTCTGCTGCCGATGGTTCCGCTCGAGACATCCAAAGTATCCGTCCCGGGCCGTCCAGCATTGTGCGCGAGATGTCCGGTTGGGTGGCTCGACGTGGTCCGGTTGGCTTGTGGAGAAGAGCATCTGATCGTCCGCTGGGTTGGTATGTAGTCGTATTGGTTGAAGTTGTAGGCGGCCTTCCTTCCTTCCTATCTGCTCCTACTCGAACTGAGACCTCAAATTTCCTCAGCGCACCCGCGCGCACTCTGCACTAAATCACAATCTGCTATTAACAGACACTTCAACATGGCACATCCCTTGCCACAATACATATTCTGCTTTGAGGGTCGGGGGAAGGGTTGTATTGCATCGGCTGTGGCAGTGCCCACTGACAAGCAAGCTTCACCCCCCAAAAGGAGTGCCGCGCAGCGTGCAAGAGTGGTCCACGACTAGGAACAAGAACGAACTATGGAGCTCATGTCTCGCCAGCTGTCCTCGCCCCTCTCCCTTGCGAACACAGCCGGCCGGAGAACGCTCGCCATGTATCCCTTAATATACAAGACGAAGCTGGTGAATCTTGTGCATGATCGAGCCGTCGGGCTCGGGCCGCTACGTCGACCTCACCTGACCTTACCCACCTCCGGCTGCAGCCCGACAAGTCACAAGGAAATCTTCATCGGGTACTGGCGACAAGACCCCCTTCAACGAGCCTCGCCTATCTCAAACAAAATCCCCGGAGCAGAGAGACTGTCATAGACAGCCCATGAGCTAACACAAGGTAGCGACCTGCAATGGCGACACTCTAAGAGTCTTCTTCTGTTTTGGCTTGAGTACTTGGTACTTCAGCATGAGTTTTCATACATTTGTTGGCTGTTTGGCCACCTTCGCTGGAGCTCACCATCTTTCCTTGGTGTTAAATTTTAAACAACTAAGAGTGGATTATCATTGATTAGGACATTGTTCTTCTTGTATGTTCAATCTTGTATTTACAATGGGAGTAATGAGGATCGAGCAGAGAAGAGAGAACAATGTGTACCTAAGAGCAGAACAATCGTTGTGCTTCTTGGATGATGAGTAAGCTGTTCGGTGATGCCGATAACAGTTGGGATGGTTGGGGTTTGCGTCTGAGATAGGGGTGGAATGAGAAAAGGGAGTTTGGATTGGAATGTGATTCTACATCATAGCAAAGACAATGGATAGTCAGTATCGCTGCGTCTTTGCCTGAGATCTTGGCATGGGGTAATTACCCGGTCTCTTGTTGAGAGTTCTGGTGCCTGGTGCCTGCGATCTATGTGGATGCGTCCGGTTGCGATCTGTTCAACCGTCCATAGATGTTAGCTGCTGATTGAGCTTGTCTGTGTTCGCACAAAGTAAGGGACTTACTCGATGATGCTTTGGTCTATACGATCGAGTAATGTTGGTCCGTCTGGTTTGCTAATTCTGTGTGCGATTGAGCTGTGATCAGGTGCGAATGATTAGTGCTGGTGCTTTCATGATCTGAAGAGAGGCTCTATTTAAGTACTCACGGATGTGCCGTGTTGTCCTTCTCTCTCTCTCTGTTGCTGCCGTCCTTGGTGACTGGTTTGCGGCTGCTTTGTCCCCAAGGGCTTTGGTTGCGTGTTCCGCTGCTAGGATCTGAAACAAGTAGGCTGATGTAAGTCTCATGTCAGGTATTTCCTGAGTGATGCATGCATCGACTTACTTTGGGCTGTTTCATTGCCTGTTCTGTTCTTGTAACGCTTGGTTACTGTTTCAGCCTCAGTGGGCTTATTCCGACAGGCTGGGTTGCTTTGAGCCGCTAGGCGAGAAGCAGAGTCTACTGGTGAGATCACGCCTATGGATGCCAGGGATCTCCTGATGGTGAGTCTTCCAGTGGGTTTGGTGAGGAAGTCAGCCGAATTTGCAGTTGTCCTGATGTAGTGTAGTTTGATGAGCTGGCTTGTGATGAGTTCTCGGACGAAGTGGAGTCTGATGTCCATGTGTTTTGTGCGAAAGCCGTTTTGCGAGATCTCGCTGCAAGCCAGGTCTATGGCCCCTTGATTGTCGACTCCAATTGGAATGTTGATGGGACTGTAGTCGAGATGTAGTTCTGAGATTAGGTGGACCAGCCACGCTATCTCCCTGCCTAAGTCTGAGAGTGCTTTGTACTCGGCTTCAGTCGAGGAGAGTGATACGGTGGCCTGTCTACTGGCCTTCCATGATAGGATTTGTCCAGCAGTGGTGATGACATATCCTGTGGCAGACCTTCTGGTGTCAGGGCAGTTTCCCCAGTCGGAATCGACGTGTGCACTGATGGAGATGGAGGGGTTCTTCCTGAATACAAGGCCCACATGTTTCGTTCCGGAGAGGTATCGAAACACCTGTTCTGCAGCCCGATAGTGTTGTATACCCGGAGTTTCGAGGTGTTGCGAGAGAACACTGACGGGGTAGGAGATGTCAGGACGGGTGAGAACACTGAGATAATTAAGAGCCCCAACTATCGAGCGATAGCTGACGTTGAGCTTGCTTAGTTCATTGATCTCTACCTGCGTGGCTTTTTTCAGATGTATCTTGGGGTTGAGAGGGCAGGAGGCCGGTGGGGCGTTGGCTAGGCCGAATTCCAGGAGCTTCCTTTCAACGTATTGCGTTTGATGGACATGCAGATATTCATCAGTGCGATCGAGGTTCATTCCTAGCAGGAACGCCGCTTGGCCGAGGTATTTAATGTCAACACCTCTTGCTCTATTTCGGTCTTGAAGATTGCAGG